CCTTTTTCTCAGGTGAGCAATCCAGGGCCCTGTGGGTCCTCTTGTTTTAATTTCAGATTACGCCAGACCAAAACCATATGAGTGACAATGGTCTTTCAAACTACATACAATTTCATAGTGATCGTATCGGATTTAGAACACACCTTCGTAAAGAAAAATCACCAAAAAAGGGGGAACAAATTCTTAAATGTTATACAGTTAAAACTTGAAGTTGCACATATGGAAAAAGTCACCGACCAAACATCAAGCGAAGACGCTATGAGAAACCCACTACGCCCTTTTGGAAACTGAAACGCTTCCAAAATGAAAAGATGGATAGAAATCGGTTGGAGCAGTTTTTGTGTTGTTTTTTTTCACTATTTACAAATGATGAAAATCAATGACCCGCGGGCGGGCCAATTTTGAACCCCGGGCATTATTTGAACAAACTTGGAAGACGCCCAATAGAAGATCTCTCGTAAGTTCTAAGCTTTAGCCCCGCCCCAAGGGGTCATTGAATTTTTCTACTATGTATATAGTGAAAACTAAAAGAAATCTTTTGGGATTTTAACAAAAAAATTAAAGACGTTTTTGGAAGCTTGTTCTGCGCATCTTTTTGCACATCCAAGGCAGATAATCACGGATATTACTCTTCACAAAGAAGGCATTTCAACAATATTCGGATAAACGTTTCCAATTTCGGATACAAAAATAATAATGAATAAACAATACCGAATAAACGCGCATTTTGATAAAAGATCAACAAGTGAACGAGCTAGGAGATCAGAATCGTTTCGATAATACTGGACACATCAGTGACAGTAACCTTCTAAGCAGTTCAGAAAAAACGACAATAAAGTGGACTTATCGTAAGTTAAATGAATTCTGAATGAATTTGATCGTTTTCTGGCCTATTAATACCAAATCTGAGAAAACGAACACAACAAAATGTTCAATTGAACGTTTTGGTCGTTGAACAATGTTCAACGTTGAAAACTGATCATTTGACGTTCGAAAACTGATCATAAGACGTTCGAAAACAATCATTTCCATACAGAAGGAACGCTGTCAGCCAACCAAACGTCCAAATATTGACTATTCTTAGTTTAAGTTATATGAAGGTTTACACAAAAATATGATAAATTAATACATCTGATGTGTCAAGTACTGTGTGGCAGCTGTAAAAAGTTGCCCCATTCTTCGCTTCAGTGTTTTTTTTCTCAATATTTCTTTGGGATCATTGATGCCATTACTATTAAGTGTTGAAAGTAGAGTACCGCTCTTGCGAATTAAAAAAGATAAATACAAAATCCCTAAAGAAAGCCCAACACGGCAAAATTGAAAATGTTGCAGGCTCGGTTTGATTGAGCCTGTTCATGGGCGGTACTGGAAAGTGCAAGTTACCGTCCACGCCCCCTAGCACCGGCTTAAGCAGAATTCAACATTTAAACATGAAATAGTAAAATTTTGAATTTAGAAACATCCGCAGATGTTCTAAGTGATAAAAGTGATAAAAGTTTCAAAGTGATAAAAAGGGAAATAACTTGGTAAATGGATGCCACAGTTATATAAATATAGTTCTCCGCGTTACATCGTATAGCGGAGAAATATTGTCTCAACATAGCGTGACCAAAACCGGTTTTGTCCGTTATTAGGTCTATAAATAACTAGTTATGTGATATATTGGTCACTTCTACGAGGTTTCTCTTACGGGTAACATCTTACATTCTAAAATGAGTGACACCGACATGAATTCGGGCGGGGAAGATAGCCAGAAATTGGAAAGAATGGTGGATAGTAAAATTCGACACTCCCTGGAGACGCATAAGAACGACATGCTCAAGGAGATTGGATCATTATTCGAAAAGATAAGTGAAAATAGTAATAATTCACAGTTAAGCAAAATTAGTAATATCATAGCATGTGACATTCCAAAATTCAAAAGAAAAAGCAATGAAGAGCAGTATAAGCACAACGTAAAAGTAAACATGAAATTAAATGAAGCCGAGCAGTTAGTTAGCACAGACCCCGTTCAGTGTAAAGCCAAAATCGTTGAAGCTAAAGAGATAATTGGACACAGACAGAAGCTAATTCAGCTTGCAGATTCGAGCGAATTAGGCTGGCGCGTGGTGCACGAGTATGAGACAAATCCACTCGCAGACGATTCTGAGGACGAACGACGCATGTATAAAGCCGAGGCACGGGCTAACCGGAAGTTAAAAGCCGAGCGAGCAAAGAAGTCAAAGTCGGGACGTCCTGCGCCCTACAGACGACCGGTGGCTACTACGTCCACATCAACAACGGATCATGTAACGCCTAAAACAGGTCGACCAGGTCTTTGTTTCCAGTGTGGAAAAATTGGTCACTGGAAGAAAGAGTGCCCGGGAATAAGCACCAATATTAAGATGAGTATTTATGAAAATTTAATGTTAAATGATATCACTGTACTGAATGCATCAAAGTCTGTTGACACTGCACGTGATGCTGGAGCACGTGCAGTTCAATATACTCAAGGTAATTTTAAACCAAGCAACACTTCTAGTCTAGTGTTGTCACCAGTAGGAAGGTTAAGACAAAGCTTTGAGAAGTGGCGGTCAGTCGCAGGTGAGTCTTATATTGTAGAAGTCATAAAGTCAGGATATAGACTTCCTTTGAAGAGTTTGCCTTCTAAAACTGTTTTGAAAAACAACAAATCTGCGAGAGACAATCCGATGTTTGTTATGTCGGAAATTGAGAGTCTTTTAAAGAAAGGCGTAATATCTGAGGTTCAAAACACTCCTTTTGTTGTAAATCCATTGACAGTTGCATACAATCGGGTAGGGAAACCCAGACTTGTGCTAGATTGTAGACATATTAATCCACATTTACATTTGTTCAAAGTCAAATTTGAAGACATTTTTGTAGCACAAAGTGTTTTTCAGCCTGGATCCTATGTGTTTACTTTTGATCTTAAGAGTGCGTATCACCATATTAATATTTTTCCTGATCATAGAACCTATTTAGGGTTTTCTTGGGTGAAAAATGATATTGTTACTTATTATGTGTATAATTCTCTGCCGTTTGGTATAGCCACTGCGGGTCATATTTTTACTAAAGTACTTAGGGTAGTAGTCTCGTTTATTAGAGAGCAGGGTCATAAGGTCATCATGTTTTTAGATGACGGAATTGGCGGGCATCATGTTTTAGCAGAAGCTTTAAAATCTAGTCATTTCATTAAATCATCACTGCAGGATTTCGGTTTCCTTTTGGCGGAAGAAAAATGTTCATGGCAACCTTCACAAAGTGTAACCTGGTTAGGTCACGTTTTAGATTTTAATAGCAATCGTATTTTTATTACGGAAGGTAGAATTTCTAGGCTTTTAAATGCAATAGAATCTGCGCTTAAAGCTATTTATCTTGACAAATTCAATTTATTACCAGTTAGGAATTTGGCATCCATTGTTGGTCAGATTATTTCCTTACATTCTGTATTAGAGCATAAAGTTAGGATTAAAACCAGAGAAATGTACAATTGCATTCTGGTTAGGGCTAGTTGGAATTCTCCTGTAATTGTAACAGGCAGGGCAATAGAAGAATTATTATTTTGGAAAAATAACGTAGTACAGTTAAATACTAACGGTAAGTCAATAAAAAGGGCACCCCCTTGCGAGTATACACTGTTCTGCGATGCAAGTGGTGAGGGTTATGGGGGGTATGTACTGAAAAATATATCAGTTTGTTATCCCCGAGAGGCAGGGGACATAGCGAATATTACATTGCCACCGGATGTTGGTATTCCAACGGTACAGGAGCCGTTTTTTGATATGCTCCCGGAAGTGAGCTCCTCGTTTGACGAGGTTTTCATTTGCAAGAAACGAACAGCGCTCCCGGAAGTGAGCAGTAAATTTGCGGAGCGATCTCCGGAAGTAGATAGCTTGACAGATTTTTCATATGTAGATTATAGCTATATGTCGAATCCTAGTGATTTTTGTTGCGAGGGCAATTCTAATCATGGTTACAAATTTCAAGACGTTAGCCACGTTATCGGTACATGGGATCCCGAGGAAGTCGGGCGTAGTTCTACTTGGAGAGAGATTGAGGCAGTAAACAGGGTCATTAAGAGTCATGCTTATATATTGAAAAACACTTCTGTAAAAATTTATTCTGACAACAAAAACGTTAAATCTATTTTATTGAACGGAAGTAGAAACTTTTCTCTGCATTTGTATTTCAACTTGCATAAATGATTTTTGTGTGAAAAATAGTATCAAGATTTGTCCTGAATGGATTCCACGTTCTGAAAATCATTTGGCTGATTATTTAAGTCGGTGCAAAGATAGCGACGATTGGTCTATATCAGATAGTCAATTTAAACGTTTAGACATTTTATGGGGTACTCATACAGTAGATAGATTTTCTTCTTCTTACAATAATCATTGTGAAAGATTTAATTCCAAATGGTGGGTCCCTAGAACTGAGGCTGTAAACGCTTTTGATCAGTTTTGGGCCGGTGAAAATAACTGGATCGTTCCACCGCCTAGGTTAGTGCCGGATTGCTTAAATAAAATAGAAAACGAAAAAGCAACATGTACTTTAGTAGTACCAATGTGGCAGTCTGCAGCATATTGGCCAAAGCTTTTTGAAAGCAAGTTAAAACTTAAAAGCTTCATAGTAGATGTTAAAGTTTTGCCGAGGCAGGGAACCATATGTATAGGCAGGGGAAATAATGGTATTTTCGATAGGGATCCGTTGTCTTTCAACATGATAGCTTTTAGGATTTGTTTTCGTACTTAAATAAGAAAGCATGCTTTTTTGTACATATAATATATGAATATTTCTGTTTAATAGGTGTTGACTTAAAAATCAGCATGGAGAGCAAGTTGGCAGAGGCAGGAATCAATAATCAAGGAAATCTGGCGGAACACATGGCTACATATATTTTGCATTCAAGGGCAGATAATACAGTTAAAAAATACAATGGTTATTTCAAGCTCTTTAGAGCGTTTTGTGAATAAGGTTTATCAGCAATACCAGCTAATTACATGACTGTGGCATTATTTCTAACTTCTCTTCTAGACGAAAATAAATCAAACAGCGTCGTGAGTTCATCTGTGTACGCCATTAAGTGGATGCATTCTATTCATGACTTCCCGGATCCTACGGACAATTCTGTAGTAAGGAATTTATTAGAAGCCTCTAAAAGACTTAGATCAAAACCGGTTGTAAAGAAAGACATTGTAGATTCCAATATGTTAAAATCTTTATGTGCCTTGTTTGAAAACAATATGACACTTGTGAATTTACGAGACTTGTCTATGATTCTAATTTGTTATGCAGGTTTTTTAAGATTTAATGAATTAAGTTCTCTTTGCTGTAATGATGTCATTTTTAATGAGAATCATATTGTTATAAAAATAAGGGTTAGCAAAACTGATATTTACAGAAAGGGAAACGAAGTTCTAATAGCTAAGGGTGATACTATTGCCTGTCCATACAAGATGTTACAAAAGTATATGTCTAAGGCAGATTTGACTGTTGAATCAGAACAATATCTATTCAGACCATTGTTGAAAACAAGAGGTACATACTCATTGGTTAAAGTAAACAAACAGCTGAGCTATACTAGAGCCAAAGAGTGTATTGTTGCTAAACTTAGATTAGTAGCTCCGGGCTTGAAACTCGGTACACATTCTCTTAGAGCCAGCGGTGCTTCCGCTGCAGTTAATTTTGGCAAGGTATCTGAGCGTTGCATTAAGAGACATGGTCGTTGGAAGTCAGACCAAGCAAAAGATGGTTATGTTCAAGATTCACTTGAAGAAAGGCTTTTTATTTCAAAGCATTTAGGGTTATAAGGTTTTCGCATCTTTTTTAAAAAAAAAAAAAAAAGCTCAGTTTTTCAAATGATACATGTTGCAATTTATTAATGAATAATGAACAGCCATATTTCGATATTATTAGCAAATTGAATTAGAATGTTTCTTTTCTATGCTTTGTAATTTTCTATAAATGCGCCTCGTCAACGCAAAACTGTTTGTTTGTTTTGGTTTTGGTTTAAGGTGGTGTTTGAGACATATAGTTCTCCGCGTTACATCGTATAGCGGAGAAATATTGTCTCAACATAGCGTGACCAAAACCGGTTTTGTCTGTTATTAGGTCTATAAATAACTAGTTATGTGATATATTGGTCACTTCTACGAGGTTTCTCTTACGGGTAACATCTTACATTCTAATTCAATTATATATTTTGTGAAAGTTTATATTTCTGAGTTTTTTCTTTGAAAAAATAGAGATAGCACGTCTGGACAGAATTCCGTTAAGTCCAATATTTCGAGGAATAGTCTGAGAAATGTGCCGATCACCGGTATATTTCGTGCATGCTACGGATACACGTTTCCTCTCGCCAAAAAAAAAAAAAAAAAAAAAAAAAAAAAAAAAAAAAACGGCGACGGGGTTTTTCGTGGGCGGCCAGTATTCCGATGACAAATATACAGTCGATGATATTTTGTTAATTCTGTTAGAATGTTTACAAGCTACAATTATAATATATAATAACTATTGATTGTGACGTGTATTTCAAAAGGTAATAGCTGATACATGTATATCTATATGACATTACTCTTTTACTATTGTATGGGGCATGTTTTCCCACAGTTAATTCAAGTTTATATATACATGTATAGTTCACAAGTAGCAGATAACATAATATATTACCATTACGAATGAATTTAGTTTTATTGCAATATCAATGCATTGTGTTAAACAAAAATAAAATTAAAAGATTTTGTATTACTGCATAAATCTGTTTCCATGTTACCTAAATAAATGCGCCTCGTCAACGCAAAACTGTTTGTTTGTTTTGGTTTTGGTTTAAGGTGGTGTTTGAGACTTTGGCAATATCATGCACTTTGTATTGATAAGATGAGCGACCACCTCTACGGTATGGTTACATTTCTGTACCCTCTTCCACGCACGAGGAGCACGACCTACTTTACCAAGTCGTCCCTTGTTGTTTTCTCGTCTACGGTAAGTATCTTCCCCATTGCCTCTAGTTTTTATTTCTTTGATTAACCCCCCCCCCTTCCCCCGGTCTCCTGTCCCCTTCCCCTTTGTGGGCCTATTATTATTTTCTTTGAATTCCTAATCAGTTACAAATTATTTATCTTTTATTGATTAACGTGTCGTTGCCCTGTCCTTTTTATGTTTGGGGTCCGCCTGGGCTCCTTGCCATTGGTTCTTGTTGCTGGGTCATATGGGGGTTGCGTTCATTGAACGCCGCCTTTCCTTGTTGATCTTGTTTTTCATATTTCATGTCTTATATATCTTCGACATTTTTCATTTCCATACAGGAAATCTGCATTTCGGATCAAAATCATTCTTGCGAGATTCTTTTCGTTTGTTGTTAAGAAGCTTGTTAGAATGGCCCAGCAACGCCAAGGCATTGGATCCCAACTCGAATGCTTCGGAATAAGTAATACCCTGTTTATGCAACAATTTGACAATGTTAATGGATGCTTTAATTACACAATTCTGAATTGACTGCATCTTAGCATCATCAGTTTGAGTTTAGGCTTATCACATCCGTGTTATTTGTGCCGTGTGGCGGCTGTAAAAAGTCTCCCCGTACATTTAATCAATGATGTTATATTTTCGATCCTTGAAGATCGTTCAGCACGACATTATTGTTGTGCTTGTGGTATTTTTAGTTTCAACCTTTCGGCATTTTCTAGTTTGGTGGTTCCAATATTCCTACTTGAATAATGTTGGATCACCCTTAGGATATGTTGCCTGCTTTTTAAATTTGTCTTTTGACGTCTTATCTGTGATACGCAGGCTTCATAACCTCTGATCCCCTTTCAAAATTCCATTTTATTTAGTTCCGCCCATTGTTTTCTCGTTTAGGGCACACGCTTTTTATTACTTGGGGACCATACGCCGCTTTTCATGGAATGGCACGGAAGTGTCACATTGAAGGTTCCATGATAACCGCCGTATGAACACATCTGCGGATGTTTCTAAATTCAAAAATTTAAACGTTGAATTCTGCTTAAGCCGGTGCTAGGGGGCGTGGACGGTAACTTGCACTTTCCAGTACCGTCCATGAACAGGCTCAATCAAACCGAGCCTGCAACATTTTCAATTTTGCCGTGTTGGGCTTTCTTTAGGGATTCTGTATTTATCTATTTTAGAGACTATAAAAGTTTACTGCACGGTCACAAAATTTTTCTACAGCACCTATAGATAAAATAGATTCGTCTGCACCAGACGAAATCTTAAAGCTGCGGATGATCACGGTCACGGTTTGCGCGCATCTCATATGAGCACGATAGTAGTGTATGATGTAATAGAATCCAGAATATTTTGTCATAAACAATCACTTAATACGTTATAATTTGTCAAATGCGAATATTTATGGACAGATAATTCGTCATAAGTCATGTTACGTAAACATTAGTTATATGATATAAACATAGTCACCGTCAATTTCTAGTCTTTGATTACACATGTGGAAACAATTTGTATAATTAGTTAAAGTTAACAATAATAGAAGGAAAGCATGAACATAAAAACGTTTAAATCTGAATATACTTCATGAACAATGAAGGACTTTTTCTTTCCATATTATGCATGTACTTCACTTCAGTGTTGTTATATTTTCTGGTCCTTCGGGATCATTGATGCCAACACTATAAAGTGTTGAGAATTGAGTACCGCTCAAGCCGGTGCTTGGGGGCGTGAGGGATTTTGCACTTATACATTGTCCCTCATGTACAGACTCAATCAAACCGAGTCTGCAATTCTTATGTTATTTTGTTGTGATTAATGCTTCCGAGGGATCACTTTGTTTCCAGAATTTTGTACTTCACACAACAGCAGGTGTCAAGTGCCGTGTGGCAGCCGTAAAAACATCCCTCACGCCCCTTAGCACCGGCTGTAGCGGAAATCAATTCTCAACACTCAAAAGTGCTGGTATCAATGATCCCGAAGGACCATAAACTATAACAACACTGAAGTGAAGTACGGGGCAACTTTTTACAGCTGCCACACAGCACTTGACACCTGCTGTTGTGAAGTATAAAAATCTGGAATCAAAGTGATACCTCGGAAGCATTAATCACAACAAAATTACAAGAGAATTTCAGACTCGGGGACCATACGCCGCTTTTCATGGAATGGCACTACTGTGTCACAATGAAGGTTACATGATAACCGCCTTATGAACACATCTGCGGATGATTCTAAATTTTAACAGTTCATGTTAAATGTTGAATTCTGCTTAAGCCGGTGCTAGGGGGCGTGGACGATAACTTGCACTTTCCAGTACCGTCCATGAACAGGCTCAATCAAACCGAGCCTGCAACATTTTCAATTTTGTTGTGTTGGACTTTCTTTAGGGATTCTTTTTTCACTCTATTTTATTGTCACATTCGTGTTATTTGTGCCGTGTGGCGGCTGTATAAAGTCTCCACGTACATTTAATCAATGATGTTATATTTTCGATCCTTGAAGATCGTTCAGCACGACATTATTGTTGTGTATACATGTTATGTGGTATTTTAAGTTTCTTCTATTTGGGTGGTTCCAGTGTTCCTACTTGAATGCTGTATAATAACCCTTAGGATAATTTGCCTGCTTTTTAAATTTGTCTTTTGACGTCTTATCTGTGATATGCAGGCTTCATAACCTCCGATCCCCTTTCAAAATTCCATTTTATTTAGTTCTGCCCATTGTTTTCTCGTTTAGGGCACAAGCATTTTTTTACTTGGGGACCATACGCCGCTTTTCATGGAATGGCACTACTGTGTCACATTTAAGGTTCCATGATAACCGCCGTATGAACACATCTGTGGATGTTTCTAAATTTTATCAGTTCATGTTAAATGTTGAATTCTGCTTAAGCCGGTGCTAGGGGGCTTGGACGGGCGCCTTTCCTTGTTCATCTTGTTTATCATATTTTTTGCACTTTCCAGTACCGTCCATGAACAGGCACAATCAAACCGAGCCTGCAACATATTCAATTTTGTTGTGTTGGACTTTCTTTAGGGATTCTTATTTCACTCTACTTTATTGATTGAGTCTGTATATGAGGGATAATGAATACGTGCAACATCCCTCATGCCCCCTAGCACCGGCTTCAGCGATACTCAATTCTCAACACTTAATAGTGCTTGTTGTAATGATTTCGAAGGACCAGATAAATATAACAACACTGAAGTGAAGCACGGGGCAACTTTTAACAGCTGCCACACAGCACTTGACACCTGCTGTTGTGAAGTATAAAAATCTCGAAACAAAGAGCATTTGGATGTTCTAAATAAAAAACACATTGATATGCCTGTACAATTTATTTGTTAGTAGTCCAAGGAAAATTTATTACAATTGTACGCTGCATACAGAATTTATATCATCGATTTTCAGACGTATTTCATTGAAATCGACCAAGATATGACAAATTTGGACGTTGAATTTTCATATGTTTATGAATTGGTCAGTGAAATGGTATGGGTTAAATTTACCAAATATAAACAATGCATATCGGTGTTTTTTGGCATCATGTACAGAATCAATCAAACCGAGTCTGCAATTTTCATGTAATTTTGCTGTGATTAATGCTTTTGAGGGATCACTTTGCTATAAGATTGTTACTGCAAAAATGTTTTCTATAAATTTATAGTCAACTAAAAATCATGTGCATAATATAAAAAATGTTTTCAGTACTTGTTTTAGCTGGGGGACGTAAGGGATGTTTCACTTTATCATTATCCTCATGTAATTTTGCTGTTTAAATGTTTCCGATGGATCACTTTTTCCAGATATTTATACATTACAACAGCAGGTGTCAAATGCTGTGTGG